ACGTCTACTCTGATCCGTAAGTGTTTGAGAAGCCATGTTTAATAGCACAGGACTCGCGAGCAAATACATTAAACTCGAGAGAGTATACAACTCTCGGTGTCTCGTTATTGTATTCTAAGCATCGTGGCATAGAATGGGATCAGAGCATCCATAACTACGAAATGTCAATATTATTTATCAGGTAGTTATAGTAAATATACGCCAGACAGTCTCGATTATCCGTTGAAATAGCTCTTATTGGGTGTAAAATATTAATCTGGTAGTTATAGAAACATTTATGACAAACAGATAACTTTAAATGCCTCTTCTTTAAGTGGCATGCAAATGTAGGTTTGGCGAACAAGGGAGATAGTTATGTGGATGTACAACACTATGGAAACGTCGCAGTCATATAATAAAGCAGTTGTATATCTATAGAACTATCTCCCTTGTTCAAATAATGCCTCAATGTCACAAATACTACAGCGTCTCGACTAGACAGCAGTCGGTTGACCGTAGTCAAGGCTACGTTTGTCGGTGATGGACCGACAAGTCAAGTCACCGAGGCTAACCACCCGATTACGACCAGCAAAGGATGCTGGACCAGACAAACCAGTGATTGACATTATGATCATTGATCCACGCAATTGGGGTATGATGAAATGCATCAACCAAGTCTGCGAGCCTGACCACGCGATCCCGTTAGTCGCCTTCTACGACAAGAAAGTCGCTTTTTACGGCATACAAATGAACATCTGCATCCCGCCAGTGAAAGTAAACTGATGGCAGGTTATAACATGTTTGTTGTAACAGGGCACTTGTAGTTCACAAATGACATCGAATGTAAAACTGAAACGTAATTTCACATCGAAGATAAATATTTAAACTGGAACGGAATACATTACATCTATCCATTATTTACGCTTGTCATAACACTACCTCGAACTTCTTCTTCTTCCAGCTTGGACAAATATACAGTAAACTACGGATATAACGAACTCAAAGGGACCACTAATTTTAGTTCGTTATAACCGTAGTTCGTTATAAGCATATAAACAGCATAACTACAGCAAATAGTCGGGACGAAAAGTAAGTTCGCTATATCCATCAGTACGCTATAAGCGTGTTCGTTATAAACGTAGTTAATTGTAAAAAGAATAATATCGCTGGCGCGTGAGCGTAATCTGAATGACTTGGAGCAGTCAGTAACACTGACGGTAGTCGTTATGCACTTTTGTGTTATTGACAGAGTATAAAGTGTTGACGGTTGTTTAAGTACTATTGATGAACCAAGGGTACACTAGCACTTGAGAATAGGGTTCCAACAAACAAAGAGGAAAACTGATTCGGCAATAAAAATACCACCAACATGTGTAAAGGTTCTTTGAAGAACTTACACTGTATAAACCTGAAGAATTCAGGTGGTCTGTGAGTGTCACTACTAGGTGGTGAGGTGAAATGGGGTTTAACGTCGCGTCCAAGATTATTGCACTTATATAGCGACGTGCATGTACGTGTGTGTGTTTGTGTGGCTGCTTGTACTAGTCCGGACTGATGCCGATTTATAGTGAGTGAGTGAGTTGGGTTTAACGCAGCTTTTAACAATATTCCAGTTATATCACGGCGTGTCAGCTTAATGTGGGAGGAAAGCCCGAAGTGATGCATGTATCAGACGTTTACCACTTCGGTGAAACCCACGAGCACGGGTATGGTGCTGACAAACCTAGAAACATAATCGGGGCGAACCGGGATTCGAACCCACTATCATAGGTTTCTGGCGTGCCCAAGGGACGCAACTCTGTACAGCGAATCGCGGCGCCTATGACGACTAGGCCACCCGTGCCCTCCCGATTTATAGTGCTAGCTCACTGAGATACCATGCCGCAGTTTAACATGAATACCCCACTCAGACACAGTATACTGACTCCGAGCCGACCAGTCCTTGTTTTAGTCCCTTAATGCCGAACGCCAGCCAGGTTAACAACAAGTACCATCTTTAAACGTCTTTTGGTATGACGCGGCCGGGGATCGAACCCCGGACCTTCCGCTTTCCGGGCGGACGCTCTACCACTAGACCACGGAGGCGGTCCGTGCACGAACTAACTGCAAAATAGAGGTAGATACGTCCATGTGCAATTGTTACAAGTTGATTACCAGGTTGAAACAGGAAGGTTAACCTGGAAATCGACACGCACATAACTTCAATTTTAATTGTGAAACGAGTAAGTAACGACTCAAGATCAATAAAAAGGAACACATTATACTGAAACACGCATGACAGGGTTTACAATCATAAAAACGTAATACAATGGGGAAATGTGTGGCAGCAGCCATTAATAACAAGCCACATTCACAAGTCGGTGCACTGTGTTCAGAATTTGTCACAGTCTTGAATCAGTTACGTGGTGCGTTCTTGATTCCAGGAAACAGTGTTGAAAGGAGGTTGAAAATCGTCGATTAGGTACGCACCGGGCACGTAGATAAGACCCAAATCAACTCGCAGAAGACGTACCTCGCGAAGCGACTCGAAGAAGGGAATTTTTCACGGATGTGAGTTAAGGCGGTAACTCTATTTTCTAATTGTCGCATACCACAACCAAAGCTAGTCACATTAGCTCTTTGACATTTAACGAGGGTTTACTTATTGCTTCTACTCGCCATCATCAAAATAAACTTACAACATGCATGCAATATAACACTATTCAAACTGCAATATTTCAGCTATGTGGCGGCGGTCTGTATATACTAGTCTGATTGGCATCATCAGCATCGATCTACGCAATTGGGATACGTTGATGTGTATCAACCAAGTTCGCGAGCCTGACCACCCAATCCTGTTAGTCGCCACTTACGGCAAGCATGGGTTGCTGATGTTCAAGGGTGTTGCGCATGGTGAAATAGTTTTATTACAGATATATTGCTATGTGCAGCACCAATCGATTCCTCGTGGTTGCAATGTACATGGAACAATGGGGGGACATTGTTATCATATAATATCGACATGTATGCTGCTGTGTTCTATATCAGAAAAGCCGTTTCTTTGATCACCCATGGGCCTTGTGTTGTTCATGACAATGGATGCTGATGCAGATGCCATGTGTTTACTTCAACTATATATACTCTCCCAAAAATGAAACGCACATGTGAAATATTATTGTTGAATTCAATTCATGTAAATTGAAACGATGAAATAATGGTTTTCCAACGCAGATCACACAGAATTTATGTTGATAATCGTAACCAATCACCAAATCACACCACCCGATGAAACACTAAACCTAAACACGTCATTTTTCCAAATGCATGAAGATTTTACGTGGAAGAGGATCACGATGCGTGATGCTCGTGAAAATTGGTGAAGTTGCGCTCTAAGATGAGGTATAAAAGGATGACACCAGGGTACAAAGCATAGCCCATTCAATATGCCAAGTTTGCGTGCAGAAGACCGAAATATCGCCATTGGATGTCTAGAGGCCGGAGAATCACAATCATTCGTTTCACGTTATTTTAATTGTTCACCACAGCACCGTCTCACGCCTCTGGAGGCGTTACCAACAATTAGGATCCACCCGCGACCGTTACATCCGGGGGTCAGGTCGGTGCCAGCAACTGAAACCGCAGGAAATGTCCTAGGACCAGGGGAGTGTCTGCGGAGATAATACGAAATCGCCTTTGCGAAAAGGGACTTCGTGCAAGAAGACCTTATCTTGGACCTGTGCTGCAACGTCACCACCACCTGTCACGTGTTCGTTGGTGCAGAAACGTCCAAAGATGGAATTGGAGAAACTGGCAAAGAATTTGGTTCAGCGATGAATCACGTTTCCTGTTGAAACGTCGTGACGGTAGAATCCGAATCTGCAGACGTTGAAATTAGCGCTATGCCCGTTACTGTGTTGTTGAGGTGGACAGATTTTGAGGGGGAAGTGTGATGATGTGGGAGGCCATTTCCTACAACCGCAGAAATGACCTGGTGCACGCACAATCTTACCGCCGTTCGTAACAGAGATGAAATCCTACAACGTCACCTTTTTCCAGTTATCTATGGACAGTTTTTTAACAGAACAACGCCAGGCCCCACACAGCACGCATCACCATGAACTTCCTCACCAATCAGAACACCACAGTGCTTCCGTGGCCGTCTAAATCCCCGGATTTAAACCAAATTAAGCACTTATGGGACGATCTCGATTGACTTCTGCGAGCATTGCAATTGTGGTGACATTGAGTTATGTCATTTGGTGCAGTTGACCATTGACTTAAATCATGTGATATTTGAAATCTGTGAATCTCGCTTGTGAGCCCTGCAGATTTGGACAGACCCTACAGCTGAGGCAATCTAGACTTGCCAAATCATTCTGGACTTGCGTTGGACTCCTTTTTATTTTTTCTCAAGGGTCTGGGAGACAGACTACATATACACATGCTCATAATATCGTCGGAATCTCACAAATCTGCTCTAAGTATTTATTTCTTATTATTATGGAAATGTTTTTTGCCGCTTTTATTGCAAAATGTATGTTGCACATGTTTTATTTATCAGCAATCTGATCTTATATTGTTATTAAAAGTAACTAAATTAACATGAATATAATACATTTCAAAGTGATTATACATGTAAATTTATATCTTTTGCCCATCATTATTCTTTGAATGAAGTCGCGTGATATATATCATGCTACTTTGGTCGCGACACTGCTTAATGTCCTTTATATCCCTCAATCATTTTACAATTACCTTAAAATTGTGATTATAGAACGTATATTGATTTTCGTGGCGTACATGCCTGTGTTAGATATTGAAATATTAAAACAACAACCTGGGACTTATGGGACGATTATGTACTTTATTGCGTATTTATTGATTTCATGTACGTGTTTTTATATTCAAAGAAACGACGGTATCCACGGTTGGTGCATAACACGCACTGAAACTTGTTTCTGCTCACTGATTGGTTGGTGAGATCAGAGAAACGGTGTGCTGTGATTGACAGCTGGTCGATGTGTGTAATACATTTACCACGTGACTTGTGCTACTTACCGACGTGATATGAACCACGGTACTTGTTTCACAGTAGTGGATGCTAGCAGTGGATGTTAATCCTGTTTTTGTAAGTAGCTATCTTGTATAGTGAATATGTCATTTTGAAACTCCAACATATGTGTTCTGTCATCATTAGATATCTTGTAAAGTGAATATTTTATTTTGAAACTCCGACATATGTGTTCTATCATCATTAGATATCTTGTATAGCGAATATTTCATTTTGAAACTCCAACATAAGTGTTCTATCATCATTAGATATCTTGTATAGCGAATATTTCATTTTGAAACTCCAACATAAGTGTTCTATCATCATTCGATATCTTGTATAGTGAATATTTCATTTTGAAACTCCGACATATGTGTTCTATCATCATTCGATATCTTGTACAGTGAATATGTCATGTCGAAACTCCAACATATGTGTTTTATCATCGAGTAGATATCTTCTGTAGAGAATATGTCATTTTGAAACTCCAAATATGAGTTCCATCATAGCGTAAATATCTTGTAGAGGAAATATGCCATTCTAAAACTCTAACATCTGTGATCTATCACAGAGAATGTATCTTGTATAGTTAATATGTCATGTTGAAACTCCAACATATGTGTTCCATCATTAAATAGAAATCGTGTATGGGGAAAATGGCATTTTGAAGCTGTATTCTAAACACTGCCTTATATCTGTTTATATGCTTGTCAACAACACTCTGTACATCACTGGGTTGATGACGGTGTTAGAACCTACAACGAAACGCCGTCTCTAATTGTCATACAGAGGTTGTTCTTCCATTTATATTATTCTTGCTCAAAATGTCCACTACCTGAGCAATTGCTTCTATTTCAAATTACCAAACTCCTCTAACATGGATATACACTCTTCAAAAAAAGAAACGCACAGGTAGATGTTTAGTAAATTTATTGTACCTAATGAAGTCGATATGTTTAATTTAATATCATTGATACAGATAGGAAATTTTGGAGCTCTATAGTCACATGTTGTCGTTGTACAAAGGCATTGAAAAATGTTCATTGTCATGTCACATGAGGCAACACGGTTGCGCTGAACTCAGTATCTCGTGTGACCGCCCCGGTCAGCAATCACGGCTCTGCGTCTCCTCGACACTGACTGGATAAGTGTACGAATTCTGTCCTGCGGAATTCTGCGCCATTCTGCTTGTAACGCTTTGGCAAGTTGTGGGAATGTCTGCGGCGTGTTCTGACGTTGACGTACACGTCGATCGAGTTCATCCCAGAGGTGTTCGATTGGGTTGAGATTTGGATATCTCGACGGCCGGGGCAAGGCGTTGATGTTTGCATTATGCAGGTAGTCTACCGTGACACGAGCTGTGTGCGGTGGAGCGTTGTCCTGTTGAAACAGCTCCCTCTGACGGTCAATGATTGGAAGAAGGTGAGGTTGAATTTTTTTATTCATGTAGCGATTTGCTGTCAAATTTCCTTGAACCACAACCAAGTCAGATCTCGTGGTGTAGGATATGGCCCCCCGCACCATGACCCTACCGCCACCGAAATTGTCGAATTCACGTACCCAATGTGGGGCAAAACGCTCATTTCGACGAAGATTAACACGTTGTCTTCCATCTCACCGGTGAAGAAGAAATCGTGATTCATCGCTAAACCACACTAGTCTCCAGTTTCTCAAATTCTAAGGCTGTAAGGTATGGCACCAAGGCAAGCGTCGCTTTCGATGGATCTGTTGCAAAACAGCGACGATAACTGGTCTTCTGGGTCGGATTCCAGCCTCGCGAAGATGGTTCCTGACAGTCTGGTCCGATATTATCCTCAAACCAGGGATGCGTCCTGCAGTCTCCGTAGCTATGTCATTGCGATGACGTAGGTGGAACAGTCGAATGTAGCGATCCTGTGCAGGGGTGGTTACTCTTGACCGGCCGGTCCACGGGCGGTCTGCAGTGGAATTGAACTGTGTGTATCGGTCCCAAAGGCGGCAAATGGTGCTGTGGCGGACGTTGAAGTGGCGTGCAACAGAAGACTGTGATTCCCCTCTTTGGATACGTCCTATGGCGATGTTCCGATCGGCAGCGCTGTGTCTCGGCATTTTCGAACTTGAAAAATGTTGACAATTGAATGACAAATTATTAGCTTATGCTTGCCTTTTTATAGCCACTACCACGAGTTACAAATGCCATAACTTGCACTTGCATTTTGCTTTACTGTTTTCCTCCATGACATTTTTGAACAAGTGTACAATGCCGTTTAAGACATTGCAAAATCGACAATGGCTCCGTTTGTCGAATATCAGCCCACCAACATTTTCCAATAATATATATCAAATTTATACACCGTTTTTTAGTGTAGTCAGGTTCAGTGAACTACATACTAACCGTGCGTTCTTTTTTGGAAGAGTGTACTTTACGATCCGTTCTGTGGCCATGCTTACCTATGTATAATTATGGCTGTACACAACACGTCTCCAAACACAACACTGTGCACAATTGTGCCCTTTAGTCGTGCCAGGATCCCATGGTGGATTCAAATCCCAGATTCAACCTGAATAAGATACTAGCTTGTCAGCTCTGTACGCGTGGGGATCAGGATTACAGTATTCAAGGCCCCAAAAGTAAAGCTTTCAAAATATATTTTCATATTTGACGCATCAGTGGTCAACACGATATCCGATACAATTCCCTCTGTTGACTGACTTGCCTTTTGCACGTGTTTGTGGCGGATGTCATCGGTAGGGCAGGATACGGTCACCTTTTCATCTAAACATGCTTATGATATAGTCGACGTCGTGCAAGGACACTGTGTTAGGCAGATATTTATCATGATTATGAAGGTGTTTGTCGTTTTTATGTAGATTATGACAGATATTTTGAGGATATTTTCATATTTGACGCATCAGTAACCAACACGATATCCGATACAATTCCCTCCGTTGACTGACTTGCCTTTTGCACGTGTTTGTGGCGGATGTCATCGGTAGGGCAGGATACGGTCACCTTTTCATCTAAACATGCTTATGATATAGTCGGAGTCGTGCATGGACACTCTGTTAGGCAGATATTTATCATGATTATGAAGGTGTTTGTCGTTTTTATGTAGATTATGACAGATATTTTGAGGATATTTTCATATTTGACGCATCAGTAACCAACACGATAACCGATACAATTCCCTCCGTTGACTGACTTGCCTTTTGCACGTGTTTGTGGCGGATGTCATCGGTAGGGCAGGATACGGTCACCTTTTCATCTAAACATGCTTATGATAATTATAGTCGGAGTCGTGCATGGACACTCTGTTAGGCAGATATTTATTCTGATTATGAAGGGTTTTGTCGTTTTTATGTTGATTATTACATATATTTTTTGAGGATATTTTCATATTTGACGCATCAGTGAACAACACGATATCCGATACAATTCCCTCCGTTGACTGACTTGCCTTTTGCACGTGTTTGTGGCGGATGCCATCGGTAGGGCAGGATACGGTCACCTTTTCATCTAAACATGCTTATGATATAGTCGGAGTCGTGCATGGACACTCTGGAAGGCAGATATTTATCATGATTATGAGGGTTTTTGTCGTTTTTATGTAGATTTTGACAGATATTTTGAGGATATGTTCATATTTGACGCATCAGTAACCAACACGATAACCGATACAATTCCCTTTGTTGACTGACTTGCCTTTTGCACGTGTTTATGGCGGATGTCATCGGTAGGGCAGGATACGGTCACCTTTTCATCTAAACATGCTTATGATAATTATAGTCGGAGTCGTGCATGGACACTCTGTTAGGCAGATATTTATTACGATTATGAAGGGTTTTGTTGTTTTTATGTTGATTATACATATATTTTGAGGATATTTTCATATTTGACGCATCAGTGACCAACACGATATCCGATACAATTCCCTCCGTTGACTGACTTGCCTTTTGCACGTGTTTGTGGCGGATGCCATCGGTAGGGCAGGATATGGTCACCTTTTCATCTCAACATGCTTATGATATAGTCGGAGTCGTGCATGGACACTCTGTTAGGCAGATATTTATTCTGATTATGAAGGGTTTTGTCGTTTTTATGTTGATTATGACAGATATTTTTTGAGGATATTTTCATATTTGACGCATCAGTGACCAACACAATAACCGATACAATTCCCCCTGTTGATTGACTTGCCTTTTGCACGTGTTTGTGGCGGATATTTTCACATTTGACGCATCAGTGAGTGAGTGAGTGAGTGAGTGATTGAGTAGGGTTTAACGCCGCTTTTAACAGTATTCCAGTTATATCGCGGCGTGTCAGCTTAATGTGGGAGGAAAGCCCGAAGTGATGCGGGTCTCAGACGTTTACCACTTCGGTGAAACCCATGAGCACGGGTATGGTGCTGACAAACCTAGAAACATAATCGGGGCGAACCGGGATTCGAACCCACAATCATAGGTTTCTGGCGTGCCCAAGGGACGCAACTCTGCACAGCAAATCGCGGCGCCTTAGACGACTGGGCCGTCCGTGCCCCCTCACGCATCAGTGACCAACACGATATCCGATACAATTCCCTCTGTTGACTGACTTGCCTTTTGCACGTGTTTGTGGCGGATGCCATCGGTAGGGCAGGATACGGTCACCTTTTCATCTAAACATGCTTATGATATAGTCGACGTCGTGCAAGGACACTGTGTTAGGCAGATTTTTATCCTGATTATGAAGGGTTTTGTCGTTTTTATGTTGATTATTACATATATTTTGAGGATATTTTCATATTTGACGCATCAGTGACCAACACGATATCCGATACAATTCCCTCCGTTGACTGACTTGCCTTTTGCACGTGTTTGTGGCGGATGCCATCGGTAGGGCAGGATACGGTCACCTTTTCATCTAAACATGCTGATGATATAGTCGGAGTCGTGCAAGGACACTGTGTTAGGCAGATATTTATTCTGATTATAGGGGTTTTGTCGTTTTTATGTTGATTATTACATATATTTTTTGAGGATATTTTCATATTTGACGCATCAGTGACCAACACGATATCCGATACAATTCCCTCTGTTGACTGACTTGCCTTTTGCACGTG